AGACTTTGTTCAAGAGATGGTTCTTGAATATTGATTGAAACTATCGAAATTAGACTACCATGTACAATAAATGCTGTATAAAGTTAATAATCAGAACTGCGATATCTAATTAATTATTAATAAAAATTGTGATAAACTTATGCTAAATGTGCACTTCATTTGATACACAAAATGAGTTTAATTGATTCAGATTTGAATGTACTTAGCTCTTATACAAACTAACTATGCGTATAGAATATATATTTGACAAAAAATATAATTCCTTTATTTGTTAACATATTTTTATAGCATTTAGATGTAAGGTATTACAATTAATATATCATTAAAAAAGTGCTTCGGTCTATAAAAATTGAACGAATCATACAACATGGAGAGGTAAACTTAAGAAAATACTTTTGCTTTATATTAAATTTTTTCTGTAGTTAGTTCTTTACTAGATCTAGGCTTAAGGAGGTTATATTTATAGATTACATTAAGTTATATACAAGATGCATTTTCAGGTGCAACCGCTAAATCGAAGAAATGGTGCTTATGAATATATTTAAGCTGCAATTTCAAATTTTTTTCAGTTGATAATTGCATTCCAATGGGAAAAGTCGACTAAGTTTCTATCGAATTAATATGATAAGATTCATATGTATATATATAAATTACTAAATATATAGTTTTAAACTTAAGAATTTAACTAGAATTGCCTACTCATGTCGTATTCTATTCATCTGGAAAGAGTATACTGTAACTGTAGAATGTATCCTACTTTTGCAAGTCATAATTGTGAAAAAATTGATTTACACTTCTTTACATTTATAAATAATACTCGTATATATTAAAGTATCTTTAAATTTCATCAAATACACAAAAGTCACAAATCATTTCTTCTAAGCTGCATAATTTACTTTAATATGTATTGTGATTCGGTAAGAGATCTATCTTATTTTATGTGCAATAATACTATGTATTATGTATGCCTTTTCCTCCAATAAATATAATATTTTAATACATAAAGATGTACTTCATTAACTCTCTGCCAGATTTAGTAAAAAATGCTATAACTTCCTACACCATTCCTACATAATTGGGTGTGCACTGTGCACATTACACACTATATGGTGTGTGCATACGAATATTTATTTAACGCTCTCTCATCCAGTTATCGTCAATCAATTTCTTCGGTTTTAATTGGTTTTTGGGAAAAATTTGACCGCATTTTAAAATATTCAAGCGATGAAGTTTTACTTTTCAACTCAAAGATTGAGAGATAGTTCACAAGTGTGTAAATTCGTTTTATAACTTTTTGTTAAGTATAAACTATCTACAATCGCGATTTATCCCTTTTCACTTTCCACGACAATAAAACATCAATAAAATTAATCTAGCATGTAGCATCTATTGTCATATACCTATGCAAACTCTGCCAGAAATGGAATTTAATTCGACTGAGCGCAGATACAAAGCCTCCTGGGTGTTAACAAAATATGCACAGAAAACAGTTTGTCGCTACATAAAAATAAATATAAATATTAAAATAAACGTCGAACAAATTTAGTGGCCATAAAAGTTCTTTTTTTCTTCAGAAAGTGTAGAAAATTTAAACTTAAGCTGTTTTTCTATTTTTATTTTTATAATGTATTTTTATGGACAAACAAATGGTTTTCCATTTTCAAACCTTTCTCCTCGATAATTAACACGGACTACATGGCGTACATGGCTTACATGGCGTACATGGCATACTTATGGTACAGCATTTGCACGACATGCCACATTGCTGTGACGGCTGTGAAGGCTGTGACGATGTAAACAGTGCATTCAGCCATCCCAGTTCACTAATTGACCATTAGCTTAAGACTAAGGAAAGGTATCTTCGCGTTTGAAATTAGGTTTATTTGCCCATGCTGACTTAGGCTGACTTATGTTGGCTGAGGCTAGCGCAGATACTCGTATATTAATTTATGTAAATATGGAAATGTAATTACATAAATTCAACAAAGCTGCCTGTGCTATCATTCATCGTTTGAAGCACCACTCGGGGCACCACTCCACATCACAAACTGAAACTGGCATGCGTTTAAGTCATAAACTAACAATATCTCGGCGATTTAATCGCGTCGACAGCTGGAAGTGGCGTCGATAATGAATGTATCTGAATCTGTAACGATGTATCTAATTAAATTTGCATACAACGTACGCTCAAATCTAATTTCATTATAATGATAACCACTATTATTATTTGTTATTATGTTTACAAATGATTGTATGTTTAAATTGAATCTCTAGCCATTTGCCGTTTGCCATTGATTTTGTTTGTTTAGTAAAAGTATCTCAACGTATGGTTGAGTTTTTGAAAGTAAAAGTACATCATTATTTTCTCGTTTTATTTATTTGCTTTGTGTTTTTGGCTTTTGTTAGTTGTTAGTCGCAGCGTTTTTTGATGCGAATATTTTGAAATATTATTGAGGTTTAAGCTCTTAATTGTATTCCACGCTGGTGTTCTCGGAATTCTAAGATATGAGAAAATGAGGTTTGCATAAATCTAAGTACATTAGAAGAGAGAAATGATATATGTGAATTTCATAAGTTCATGTTTAATGGAAACATTTTTTGCGTATTAGATTTTTTACAAATAAGATGCTTAGAATGTCTAAAATTCGCTCAAGACGTACCTCACAGTATATTTAGAGAATTTTACCTGTGTGATTATGAGTATAATTATTAAAATGATATATTATCACAGGTAGCTAAATTCAAATCTATTAAAATATTAAATAAATTAAGCATTTATTATAAATGTGGGGAAAACTTTTACTTAATTTGTATGTATATTACTTACTTAAATTAATAATACTTTTTATTAGAATATATCTTCTCAAAGAACTTAATAATATACACATATATATTGATACTCATATCTGACCAGATACTCTGACCAGATACTCATAGAAAACCCGAGAAGTAGTAGTAGAAAATAAATTTAAAGTTAATTAAATTAAGCAATATTTTCACTTTAATTAAATCGTATATATACTTTGATTCCATTCAAATAACAGTGGTAAATAAATAGAGTTGTATAAGCAAATACAGCATAAGAAATAAAACTACATAGAAGAAGAAGAAACTTAAAAGTGCAGCACAATTGTGGTAAATAAGAAGAAATATTCATTTCTGCAAAACATTTCAAAGTTAAAATATTCTTAAAAATATGAATTTCAGATCATCTTCTGTAAAATTACAGTTGAACTAAAGCTTAATCTACAATAGCATAGCATAAAGATACAAATACTTACCCTATTCCATAAAATTACCAGTTTAAATTTATAAAGATACTTTCATTTCAAAACACATATAATCTTATTTCTACAGGATTATATACGTACATACATTCGAGTCCCTAATAATACCAATTAGAGGCTATCAACTATGTAGTATATTAGACTAGTTGAAATTGGTTCTGGTACAATATTACATCCATTTAAAAAATTTGAATGTCAATCTAGTATCTTATCTTGCTTTCTACATAATCAATAAGGTTTGGAATCCGAAACTTAATAATATCTTAAGATTTATCAGTAGTTTGGGCACATATTTCAAGCCATGCTATATAATTATTACTCTCCTAATAGTAATAATAATCAGAAAAGGAAAAATCCTTGATAAACCAATTTATTCGACTCATTATCTTTTATCATGTAGCGAGCTAAAAACAAAAACAAAATTTTTCAATTAATTTGGGATGGAAATTATATGTTCATCAGGAACATTAATTATTATAATTCCAAAATTTAAATATTAGCGCAACATTTATACAATTCACTATTTTATTAATCCTAATTTCAAAAAATGCCTCATAGCAGGTTCTTAAAAATATCTCATCTTATTGTCAAAAATTATTGAAATCATAATAAGTAGCATGATTACTTAATATGGGTCTATTGGCCGAACTTAGGAATACAATTAGGTTTAGATAGCGAACACTCTAAGAAGACTAAAAAGCAATATTGTTCGCCAAGCACTAATGTAAAATCCACAAATTTTTAGATGACCCAATGCGTCGGCCATGTCTTTGAGGAGAACAGTGCAAACCACATTTTAACATATTTCCATAATAAAATTCGATTTAAATTAGTAAAGCTCTATGGTCCGACTAGAAGGAAATAATCACATACATACATAATATATATGGTATGTTTTTATAATATTATAATGATAAGATATTATATGTATATAATTAAATTCATTTACGCAGGGAGAGGAGGGGGAGTGGAAAAACTCACTATGAATAGTGAAATACACAAAACATTACCAATATTTATTAAAGTATTAACTTGTACAAATTATGGCCCTATATCAAAGTAGACGATATAACATTAAAAACTTTTTGCGGATAGAAAATGTTATTTCTACTAAACTATTTTATACTTCTTGACACACAAATGTACGAAAACCCGACAAAGACATAAGTCATCACGACATCAAGTTGTTATTATTTAATCTCAGGATTCAACTTCAGGATTTAGTTGTTATATATGCCTTTGTTTAAATTTATTTTATCCAACAAGATAGACAGTTCATAGATTTTATAGATATAATAAAATCACCTTCCATTATAGCGATTACACACAACACCAGTTGCATTACAAGTTAAAAAACGATCAGCTATTGATATACCATAAAATTAAAACCCTACTCATTATGAAGATTCCCGTCAGTCATTACTGGTACCTGTGCTCTAAAGAAATCCTTTTAAGGTCTTTATTGGCTTGTTTGTAAGTTTTTTTTTTGGTGTATTTTCGCACTTTATACATATCTCGTTTTATATTAAGATCGGATACGATTCAGACCCAAGATTTATAAAATAAAATAAGCTTCTAAAAATATTTTTAAAAATCGATATGCTAACATAATAGTGAATATCGTTATCGCTTAAGCCTAAAAATATGCAAAACATTAACGGCTTTATTAAAAAAAAAATTAGCAGTGCCTATAATTTTTTTAAATGTTTGCAGGTGCCGTAACTGATTCACCCATAAAAATAATAAAATTGCCTGTACAGCCAGCAGTGATACGCTACAGTCGAACGGATCCACAGATCAAGACGTTTCAGCAAAGCGATTATACACAACCATCAGCTGCTTCACTCCAAGCTAAAAATTTAGCTGCTCTACTTTACAATGATAATTTAAACTCCGCTCACGATGAAGATCCCAGACAACAACGTGCCATTTCTAACACTTGTCCGCGTTCCTGTCCACCAAGCGTTACCGTGGGTGCTGAACCAGTTTGCGGGTCAGATGGTTTAATTTATGCGAATCTTTGCGAAATGAGAAAGAAAACTTGTTCTAGAAATGGTGCGAGTCCTATAAAGGTATGTCTGTATAGAATAAGACCTTGGTTATATGGTGGTCGATTTATTCTTGTTTATCTTATGCGCATTAATATTATTGTACTTAATGTCACTTTATATTTTAAGCCCATTACTGATGGTTGTGAACGTGCTAAAGGTTCCGATTGTAAACATCGTTGTCTCTCAGAAAAGGATCCAGTTTGTGGTACCGATGGCAGAACTTATTTAAATAGGTTAGTTAGTTGATAAGCAACTATTTATAGTTGATATGTGTTAAACTTTTCTTGTTGATTGATTTAGATGTATGTTAAGAGTTCAATCTTGTCGAGTGGGCATAGCTGCAGTAACAATCTCACACGTTGGTCCTTGTAGCAATACAAGCGCTATACGTGAGTCTTGCCCCGTTGATTGCAACAGCGCACCAAAAGATGGACCTATATGTGCCTCAGATGGAAATGTATACAACTCTACATGCGAAATGAAGCTACTGACATGTGGACAGGGTGTAGTGAAGACAAGTCGCAAACATTGTCAATCAACTAGAATGTGCAGAGAATCTTGTTGGCGTGTGGCTAGACCAACGTGTGGTTCAGACGGACGCTTGTATGCCAGCCCATGTAAAATGCGCTCTTCCAATTGTGGTAAACATGTATTCGAAGTACCACTTTCATTTTGTATGCCCCAAGAACGTAACGGGAATCAAATTGAAAATTGTCCAACAGAATGTCCGAAATCTGGCGACTCAGCATCTCAATATGTTTGTGGTAACGATGGTAATATATATTCATCTTTATGCGAGTTGAAGATGCTGAATTGTGGGTAAGTTATGTTATATCTGTTATATGCTTTTTCTTTTTTGAATTAATAAAGCTATTTTTATTTAATATTCTCCTCTTCTTCTGCACCAGACCTCAACGCAAGTCAATACAGAAGACAAGTATGGATAAATGCAAAACCAAGTTGAGCCGCTGCAAACAACTGCCACCTTGCAAAGATTTCAATAACATGTTTGGTTCTATATTTTCATCGAATCGTGAAGACAAATTATGTGGCACAGATGCGAAAACCTATAACAATGAATGCGAACTTGCTCATGCTACATGCCTGTAAGTTTAGCTATTAATATTTTTCATTTTAATGAATTTTTAAAAGTTAATGCCTTTATATTATCTGCAGACGAGGTGTCAACTTAGCGCATATTGGACCATGCACAGATCTTAAAACCCCAACGAAAAACTGCAGTTGCACGAAGGACGACTTTAAAAGTGGACCCGTTTGCGGTTCAGATGGAAACACGTTCCCATCAATGTGCGAATTTAAACGTCGCAGTTGCCGTTCACGCGTTGTTCCAGTCTCTCTGAAAAATTGTCCTTTAACAGCAGAATGTGAGTCAAATTGTGATGCTCAGCCACCGAACTTTGTTTGTGGTTCAGATAATAAATTCTATAAATCTGAATGCCATATGCGGAAGGAAAATTGCGGAAAACATATTTTCGTAGTGCCACTACAGCGCTGCACTAGCGCTTTACAATTTAAGGGCTGTGCTAGAATATGTCCACGAGAATTTGAGCCAGTCTGTGGCACGGACAGTATGACATATCTAAATGAATGCTTCCTCGACATTGAAAATTGTCGAACTAACAGCACAGTGCAGATAGAATATTACGGCGCTTGTGGACGACCGGAACCACCATCAACGAACTACTTATACTAAAAATATTTTAGCGATACATCAATTATTACGAATTACAAATATGATTGCATTTATACGAATGATTCTTTTAGATTTAAGTGGAACATATTTATACACACATAACTTTAGTTATTATTGATTTATAGTTGTTACAAACTATTTTTTATACTTTCTTTTTATTGATATTTAATAAAATTATTTATTCGTGCTTTTTTGTATTTATTATAAAAGTGTTTACTTTTCATGCTATGACGGAATGATTATAAAAAGGATGTTAAAGCTCTAAGCACTATATAATCCATTAACATAATAAAGTACATAGTATTAATTATAAAAAATTAATTTTTAAATTGTTTTAATTTTAAAATATTTACATTACTTCATAATTGTGCTCATTAAACACATCTTATTTTAATTACTAATTGAAATTAAAAGGAATATACGAAATTCCTGCGTGGCGGTCACCCTCTTACAGCTTAGCGATAAGATAATACAAATTAATCCAATATAAATTTAATCCATTTTTGGTATTTTAAGCCGAATCATCAAAGAGTTTGCTCAGCATAGCATTGATTTCATGCGGTCTATATTTTACATACTTGTCTGGATTTTTGCTGAATTGCACGCTTGAATACCTGAGATAAAGAAATTAATAAGACTTAATAAAACTAAAATAAAGTAAACTTATATTTGCACATAAAGGAAATTACATCGTATATTGTATGTTTATATTAATGGTATTATATTAATACTCCGGTCTCTAATTGATAAAATTTCAGTCCTACTTAAGAATTTTCTAGAAAAATATAAAAGCTAAAGTTACGCATAGTAACGTAAAATAAACACCAAACAAAAACATGATTTATCGGAAAATTCAAGGAGTTCATCTATATTGACGACTCTATAAACAAAAACGACAAAGAGGTGCTGAAGGTCTGATGACGAATTGCTAACAGATGCTACTACACCCCAGTAGTTAACTGGGATGAGTTATTTCTCTCTCTCTCTCTCTCTCTCTCTCTCTTTCTCCCTCAATCGACAAAACTTATACTCAATAGGTCCGGCATCCTACGTACATTATTATGTAAAATAGTAGCATGGGCGTTAATATGCAATGATAAAGCAACGATTAAAGACAAAAGTTTTCTGGGAGATATTTGGTATCAGTGGTGTACGCATTTGCAGCACTATCTAAATAAATCATGCGCTATAGGCTATGGTATATCAATATGAGTTCTTTCCATCATGTAAGTGTGGTATAGTTCAACAAATAAACAGCTGTGTTAGCTTGTTTTGTAAGGTAAAATTTTGGTGAAAAAGAAGTTTCAGACTATAGTCGGAATAATAAAAAGAAATGACAGACCTCCTAAATAATGAAATGATGTATTTGAGAAAGTACTAATGTCATGTCACAATAGGACTATAGGGTTCCAATAGCGACCGAATCAACGCAGACGATCAAGTACCGATTGCAACTGCCGCCAGAAACCCAGAGGATAGATCTACAAAGAAAATCATGCCTATATCTCTTCATGTCTCTTCTTCATGCACAAATGACACACACAAATTTGATACTCATTGTTTCATGACTCTACTATGTTGGGGTGGCAAGATACTTTTTCCTGAACCTATGTAAAATTTAACATCTGTACGTGTCCCTTCTTGCCTACTTCTTCTTATTTTCACATTACTTTCCCTATCCACCCTTACTGTATAATGCAAAACCCTTATGTATTTGATTTCCCATTTGGGTACAATAACATCAACAACGAATTAGACTACAGCAACAACTTGACGCTGAAAAGGGCGATTACAAACCAGGACGCTTGAAATGGAAGGTTAAAACTACGTATTCAAACAATAATCTTTCTTTAATCTTTTAATTTATATACACTCTATATACCCCATACCATCGATTTCTTATGTTTCGCCTTGTGATGGCGAAATGATTATGGGTCTCATAAGTACTTAATTTTTATATGTTGTTTGTGAATAATTAGCAAATTAACACATTTCTAAGATATTCTTAAAATGTATTCTATTAAGTCAATAAGACTTTTCTCGCAACATATAAGTTATGTATGTAATTTCTCAGAGAGAGAACTACGTTTATACTTATTTTAAGTAATTATTAAACGTAATGGTTATTCTGTTTTTAAAAAAGTTTAAAAACTATTAACACATCGATGATTGAAAAATAATTTTAAAAGTTTAATTAACAAAATTTTAATGCACAACGATCTAAACTCTTAGGACTAACTTTACAAAACACACTTAAGTGGCGACTTAAGACGTGCTTTAAGTTCATACTATCTAACCCTTTAAAAATACTTGGCTTAATTGTTAAATCTAAAACTGACCCTGAAATTTATCTAATGACATGGTGTTTATTATACATATTTTACAACATAATCAATTTTGATGAACTACTTACAATTCATAAAAACGATTGTATTTGGGCAGAATGTGTTCTGCGTTATCTCTTTTAATACCCTCACGTAGTATAACATCTGGTATAGAAATACCACGTTGGATTTTACATGCTTCTTCAAAATCTTTGTTAAAAGTCTGCGAATATAAGAAGTTTTTAAATAAATTAATATGTTTCTCATTTAAATTAAAAATATTTACAGAAAAACGTTCTTTCAGGATGCTGCGATCCTTATCTTTAACTTTTCCCTGACTCGGTTTGGGTAACTCATCTATAGGTGATATACTACCCAACATTTTTGACCATGTTTTTTGGTAAGAAAACTTCAGCTCCCTTATCATTTCCAGATAACTGTGTTCACACTCCGGCTCAGCAAGTGTAACCAAATCAATTAAGTTGGATTGTTGCAGCGATTTGAGTATGTAGTGAATATTATTAAGACGGAATAAATGTTTGGTTGCTTGATCATTATACTGTTCACATTTATTCATAATAGAAAGATTAAGTTCCGCTAAAGCTTTTTCTAAATAAGAAACAATTGACATAATTAATTGACATAATATTGTCTCAATCTGTATAATTAATATTACTTATGTAAATAGCTAAGAGTGCCTTATTCCGCTCTTCACCCTGCAATGACTTTTTCATCAAAATTGTATCCAGCTGTGTTGAGTATAAAACATCTTGTTGCAATATGGAGCCGATAACATCGAAATGTTCGTAAAGATGCTCAATAAACCAAATTGTGTTGGAGGTAAGTTCATGCACAGTTGCATCTTTGGGTACATTAACATAACCTAAAGTGGAACTCATACCGACAATATTTGTACTGGACTCGCATTTAACAACTTCTAAAAAGTGTTCTAACGCTTTCGAACCCTAGTATAGGAATCGTTAAGATAAATATATTTAACAATAAATAACCATACTTACTGTAGTCTGCAGCTTATTGCGCACTTTTTTCAACTGTTCACGCTGCTGTGGGTCATATGTCCGTTCCATATCGGGTTGTAATAGTATAACACGTTTAAGAGCTGAAAATATGCCAAGCGCTGAAGTCCACTCTTTGCGCGATATGCAACGTAAGATACGATTTGTAATTGCCTAAGTATATTACGAATAATAATTATAAAATCATTATATTTTTATATTGAATATTACCTCCGCATCTTTAACCACTAATTCTATAGCATTGTAAGCTAACTTAGAGAATACTTCGCCATGTTTAGAGGTTGGTATTATTTCATTCATTAGTGCTCGTTCCCAGTTCAAGAGTCGCTGCAATCCAAGCAACATAACTAAGTATTTATCAAGCTCTTGATCACCATCCATAAAGTCTTCTGAAGTTAAGTGATCAGAATGTGAAGAAGCTTTCTTTATCGAAAATCCAGTAGATTGTTCAATTGTTTGTGTAGCGCGAAGATATAATTTGTTTGCTTTCTTTTCAAATCTGGAAAATATAACCAATACTTTTTTAAAATATTTTCTTGTGTTTCTTCTTATTCATTAATTTTTGATATTATATATATACTAATAATAATATTAAGTTTCTCTAAAATACTCATGTTATAGAAAAAAATCAGATTAGTCTGGCAGAAGATCCCGACAGTGATTTTATAGATTAAATATTCCTTTTGTTCTCAGAAAAAAAAGAGTTTTAAATTATGACGATATTTTTCTTCTTACAATAAAGAATTAGAACTTAGCAGTATGTTTGCCTGAAGACCTTATGATTCAGTATATAATAAATATTGCGTAAAGTTACTTACATTTGCTGTAATCTAGCTGAAGTATTTTTCTTCACTTCACTTCTACCACTATGTCGAGGTTTCTAAAAATATAGCAAACATATATAAACATTTATTACTAACTCAATTCTTAGTTTGTATATTAATAGTTATAAATATATGACTCGTTTAGAACTACTAGTTTATAGTTGCTAGTATATAGTAAATGTTTTATAATTAATTTATATATCTGACGACTTTTACGTTTCACAATGATGAGGAAAGAGGCAGTTAGTGTGAGAAAGTCGTGGAAGCAAATACAAATATTAGTTATCATAATTGTTTATAGATTAAAACAAGTATTAATAAGAATAATGTTATATTCATTGGCATTTCTAGTCGTATCATGGGTCTACCGTACGTTAATTACAACGATCAAGCGCCACATCGACACTTATTGCAATGGAGTCAACATCAGTGAGATTGAATACAAACGTGGACTAACTACCCTTCCAACAGATGCAGTTTCCTTTCGAGATCACAGTTGCATAGTAATACAGTTCTCAATAAGCCTCAGTTTAATATCTCCTGGGACACCTTCACCACGCAGCAAGAGCTTGCCATTGCCAATTTAATGTTAGGATATAGCTATGTGCTAAACACGTACTTGTCATGCATAAATGCGTTAATTTCTAACGTGTACCCTCACAGTCCATTTGGTTTCCTGTCCAAATGCACACACCAATTTGATTCAATAGATCTCAAGCTTCGTCTGATTGAAGTGTCTAGGTTTTTCCTCCTTCACCCAGGTTAACTTCAATTAAAATTCAACCCATCCTTAATCCACTCTTGTGATCAAACCATTCCCTCCCATTTTACATTTTCCTTACCGAAGCATATCGTAACCTATGTATTCGTATATGTAATTCTTTTATTTTAATGTTATATGCTATATAGATCACCACGGGTTATTATAACAACACGTTTACGCGTCGCTTAACATGTGATTTCAGTTTGTTTAAGACTATATACCGTAACTAAATAGTATATAAACGAGTGACTAGGACACTTGTTTATGTTTATGAAAATATCACACATTACTTCCGTTGGACTCTCAACAATTACTACTATAATATAGCAAAACTCATCATTTTATACGATAGAAAAAGGCCCATTATTGATTTCATCTTGGTGTAATCGTTGATCAACGTCTAATTGTCAAACAACAAAATTTTGAAACATCTGTAGAGGCTCAATTCAATTGAGAGAAAGATGTCATAAAAACAATAATCGCGCTAATTAAAAACCGATTTTATTAGGCTATCTAACAAATAGCGAAAATTAAATATCAATAGAAGTATTGGAGTACTAGAAGCCTAGAATATCAAAAACTATTATGGTATCAATAGAATATATTGAGGTTAATTACAAATAAACTTTTATTTCAGTTGATTTTTTAAATAAACTTAAAACTGTTAATCAAAGTTTTTTACAGAACTTTCTTAGATATTAAATAATTGATATTGATAGGAAAAAACAAAATTTAATAAAAAAATAAAAATTACATTTATTTTAATTCAATAAAAATACATATAAATAAAACTTAAAAGAGATACATAGATAAATATATGAACTTGGTACCGCGATTGATGTTCAGCATTGCTCAATTAGATCTCAGTTTTGTTAGGAAATCCATAATGATATTGCAATGTTCATCAGAATTCAAGCCAATAGCATCCAATTCCTTTTTCTGTATATTTAAAAATTGTTCTAGAGTAATACCGCAGCTTTCAAATTTATCGGAATATTCCTCTAGGCCGACACTCTTTAGCAATAGCGCAACATTAAGTGTATTATTTAAAACGTTGTTCAAATTTGTATCAGAAATAACAATTTGGGGTATAGAATTATTGTCGGGATCATCATATTTATGAAAACTTGACGAAGCATTATAAGAGAATTTAACTGACTTCAAATGGTCGAGTGGATTTAAAGAAGTATGCAGCATTGGAGTGTTAGGATTTTCTACACTTTGAATTATAGCATCATCAATAGGCGACATGCCTGGTGATTTGAAGCCGTCTAGATTTGGCGTGAAACAACGCTGTTGAATGTTTTTGACTGTAAGGTGACGACTGCTCTGCAATTGATCCAAGTCACTACATTTAGCAGCTGGACAATTAAACTTGAATTCCATCGGTTGTACACAAGTTGGAGTACAACAATCCTCCATTTTTAAAAACTTTGATATTTAACAAAACAAGAACACTTTAAACTTTTACGTTCAATCTAAACAGCGATCAACACATAACTAAGTTGGGATCGCCAAGCAGCAAAAACATGAGGCTACAAGGTAAATGCATTTCATATAACGGCTATTTAATGATGACAGAGTGAAATATTTAAAACCAGTTAAGGTAAATATAACTAATAAAACTAATAGGAAGAAGAAACCAGCGTACGCCGTTATGAAACAGGGTGTTATTACTACACCCTTATATAAGCTCACATTTATTTATTTATAATTGTTAAATTGCTTAACTATTTCTTTTTAGTTTATATAAAACAATTATCTTAGAAATTAAAATACTAAGAAAACTTACCAAGGCTTCGTGTCCCCAACTGCTGCTTTTTTGATGATCTTTTAGGTTTTGCAGTGACCGCAACACAACATCTCCGCGCTCCGATGCGTAAATTATGATATATTCCCTACGCAAATTTTGTTCCAACCATAAAGATATGGTACAGAGTTCTTCTCGTGTGCTCTGAGACAACTGACGGAACGAAGTGTATTCGTCACTTGATGAGTCATCTTCAATATAAATAAGGTCTAGTAAATCAACAGGTTTCAGTGGTGCACTATGTTTTTTTAACAAATGTCGGTAGTGGTTATTAAGTCCCTCACAGCCAGTGTTAAACAAACTTGTAACATTTTCCAATTCCACACTTTGCGAATTATGATGCAGAAAATAATCCATTGCTGCCCGCAGTTTACCAAGTGCTTCAAGAAACACGGTAATATTGCCTTCAATAGGGCCTTGATGTATTAAATTACATACTTCTTGTGACACATCGTAGTGTGCTAATACAGTTTCCAAGCACTCCAAAGTTGATTCCAAATCTGTAAGTGCAAGATGTGTTCGTTTAGTGGGCGTATATTTGAAGTCATAAATTATATATATTTACTTTGCTGACGTTTCTGTAGCTGTTCTGTTTCATTGTAGACTGGCAATATAGTTTTTTCAAGTTTCCCTAAACGTTGCTCAAATATTGTTAAAATTCCAGACATCTGAGTCGATAAATCATGGTATTTATCCACGCGATCTTTAAGCAGCGCCAGATTAGACGTTTCCTGTTAGCAATATTTAGAAAATAATTTTAAAATTAATTTTAATAAGTATTATATTTACTTTTTCCAATTTATTGTGCAAAAAATTATTCATTTTCTTAAATATTTCTATCTTGTAAATAAACATAAAACCGTACAGCTGATTAGTGACGTACTAAACTGTCAAAATTTTTAGTGACAAAAAAGTAACCGGAGTAAAAGTTACTTAAGATCAGAGTAGTTCATTTAAAACTCTTTGCGCTTATAAAGTTGTTACAATGCGAATGTAGGTATTTACCTGAATTTTGAGTAGAGTAAATTATATAAATATTAGATAAATTTGGTAATACAATTGTGCAAACTTTAAAAAATATTTATTAAAAAAATATATATATTTGAAACAAAAATAATAAATAAGTGCAATAAAATGAATGAATAATAATTATTTATAATAATGGGTGTGAATGAAATTTGTATTTTCAGGCTTTCTCAAGCATTGAGTATGTTTTAATATTGATAAATTTAAAAGAATTAAGTGTTATTTGTCAAATATTTCTTGACAGTTAAGTGTAAATTTTCTACATATTCCAAAAATCGTTTATAATAGATGAATTTTAAGTCTTGGCAACTATAAGGTTTGAGCTGCTTATTAGTTAAGCGGTTTTAAAAAGGTTGGACTAAATAAGCCAGAAGTGTTGTTTTTTATGTTTTTTTTTTAAATAAGAGGTTGGTTTTTTGAGATATGCTTACAAAAAAAAAGACCCATTGTAAACGCTTGCGTTTGGAACTAATTTCTACAAAATTCATAATAGATCTGTTCCACGAGCAACTCATAGTAAAACTTAAGTAAAACATAAGTAAAGAACAAACTGAGAGCGTAACACAAATAAAGTGCCAAATTGCGCTCTTTACACTGTTTTTTATGGAACAGCTTTATGTTAAGTCTGGTGGGAGCACCAGTGCCGCGCAAATAAACAACATAAAAATTTAAATTCAAATCAAAACAGCTGATTCACACATTAACACAAATTTTAATTGAAATAAATTGTGCGAGTAAAGTTAGTGTAGCATTTTCAAATTTCGACAGAGATGTTACGCTCTCAGATGCTTTCATTTACTCGAAAATTTTCAAGTGAAATGCACATGTGTTTACAGAGTGCTGCTCAGAGTTACGGCATAAGTACAATTGTTGTTGCTTCCAATGCAAATTTTAAATTTGAGAATGGGAGAAAAAACAATATGGCCGTTCGAACTCCGGTATGAGAGCCGGCGTATTTGTGCCCCGGCAATAAGGCAAAACAGTGTTGTTAACTAATAAATTTTAAAATTTGCGCCTTTTAGGAGCAAAATACTACAATTCTAATACGTTTTGGAGAAAAAATGGCAATAAGCAATACAGCCTTTTTTATAAAACTCTATTAATATAATTATTACACTTTTCGATTTTAAAGAATGACGAAAGTACTGTTAAGTACTGTTAACAATTATTATAAGATAATATAATAATAAATTAACATTATTACAGCCTCTATGAGTTTTTTTGCTAGTTATTTTTGGTAACAAATTGAAAGTAAGCATATCTAAATTTCCTTTTAAATTTAGGTACTACCAAGAAGTAGTAAAATACAAAATTGGTAATACTGATGTGACACTCTGCATAACATGCATTTTCGGCATAGCCCAAAAGAGCGAATATTGCCGTGCCCGAGACACTCTGCATAACATGGCCCTACGAGTACAGATCTAATGTCGTGGAACAGACCTAATGTAAACAGGTTATTAAGTGCAGCAGTAGTGTTCGCATACTTTAATCCATTTAGTACTTTTTTTTTTATTAAAAGCAACACTGATTGGACAACACTGCTTAGAATCGATAGAAATAAAATTTATATCGTTGCCATTTTTATTCCTATACTTTTGCGATAGGAACTAGTTGGGCGATTTTCAGCAGATTAGTTAAAAATATATATTCCGAGTTTTTGTTAAAATCAATACCAAAAATAATAAAAATGTAAGTGTAAATAAAATTTATTTCACATTTTCAACTTGTTAAAGTTTGTGTGCACTTAATTATTATGCAACAATCTTTGTTTTTTTAAATAAATTTTTTCCGAAAATCGATATCAAGTTTTTTCATGTCTATCAAATGAAAGTTAGTCAAATAGATTTTCATATATATAAAACATATTTGTCAGTTTTTGTGGTGACTAATATTTTTTTGTTCTACATTTAATTTCTTTATTTAGGTACGAAAATCGTAATACTAATATGAATCGTCCAGGATTTCGTGATCATCAACGGGTAGGTGGCCCTGTACGTGGCAATATGCATCGTCCACGTGAAACTCCTTACTCTCGTGGTGGTGGCGCGCAACGTGGTGGTGTTGATCGTCGTATTCCTAACAACGTAGTAGCAACGACTGTTCCTGGAGACCGTTTACCTAAAATAATTTGGTCTGAAATCACTTTGAAGCCATTCAAGAAGAACTTCTATCAGCCGTGCAATGCGGTTACGGATCGTACGCAAATTGATGTAGACACATATCTTTCTAGCAATGAAATTACTTTAAAGGGTTCAAGCATTCCTTTGCCAAGTATTGAATTTGATGAGGGGGGCTTCCCGGAATATGTTCTGTCTGAAATCAAAAAATTAGGTTTTGCTAAGCCTACTGCTATACAAGCACAAGGTTGGCCAATTGCTTTGAGTGGTCGCGACATGGTTGGTGTCGCTCAAACTGGTTCGGGTAAAACCTTAGCATACATACTACCGGCAGTAGTGCACATTAACAATCAACCACGTTTAGACCGCGGTGATGGCCCTATAGCTTTAATATTGGCTCCTACTAGAGAGCTTGCTCAGCAGATCCAGCAAGTGGCTTTGCTTTTTGATTCTCCGAATCTACAAATGCGGGTTCGCAACACATGCATATTTGGTGGTGCACCGAAACATCCACAGTCGCGTGATTTGGAGCGTGGAGTTGAAATTGTGATTGCAACTCCCGGCAGGTTGATTGATTTTCTTGAACGTGGAGTAACTAGTTTACGCCGTTGCACCTATTTGGTACTTGATGAGGCTGATCGCATGCTTGACATGGGCTTTGAACCTCAAATCCGCAAAATAATGCAGCAAATTCGTCCAGATCGTCAAGTGCTTATGTGGTCTGCTACATGGCCCAAAGAAGTACGCAACTTGGCTGAAGAGTTTTTAGATAATTACATTCAAATCAATATTGGCTCCTTGACGCTTTCTGCAAATCATAATATTTTGCAAATTGTGGATGTTTGCGAGGAGACCGAAAAGGATACGAAACTGGTGAAGTTGTTGTCCGAAATCTCAGCCGAAGGCGAGAATAAGACAATTATTTTTGTTGAAACCAAAAAGCGTGTAGATGAAATCACACGCAGCATATCTCGCCAGGGCTGGCGTGCATGCGCTATTCATGGCGACAAGTCACAACAAGAACGTGATTTTGTATTGACTTCCTTCCGCAACGGACGACATTCGATACTTGTTGCAACCGACGTTGCAGCCCGTGGATTGGGTAAGTTAAATTTTTTTTTAACTATGTTGGTAGTTTCGAGTGATGCTGTGGATAAAATGCTTAAAATTCTTTCATTATTTTGGTTCGTCTATAAAATGTTTTTCATGATGAATCACCCACCGCCTTGAAGAGTCCAAACTTTGAACAACAGTTCTTGTGCAAAAATGTGTTTTTATTTGGTTTCATTAGCATAATTATTAAATATTAAACCTACAGGTTCTAAAGGTGTGGGAAAATAATGAGGAGAATACGTATTCCATACATTGCTGATTTATATACAATATATTTTTTGTCAATCAAGGAAACAGTGGCCGTGAAATCTGAATTGTATAAAACATTTAAGGATTTTCAAGTGGAATTCATTGATAACAGAATAATGGACTTTCTCTAAATTTAAATTATTATTATTGTATTAGACATATTAATGAACTTATGAACGTTTAGTGACTTAACGACATGGGTTAAAATTGGTAATGGAGTTTGTCAAGCAATGATGACAGAGAATTTTGCGACAACAATTTGTGTGTTGCATGCGAGAAATCAGTAAATCTATATAATCGCTAACATTAATAGGTATATATATAAATATACATATTAAAATTATTCGAAATATAACATTTTAGTTTATAGTATTAGTTATGCAGACAAGAAAAAATCTTTGCATAACAAATTTCATTCTCTCTTACTACTTCTTTTACTACTTACTTCTTACGTCACTGGGCTTAAGCATTACAGCGGATGTTGCACTGTAAGTATACTTATGAGCTAAACATTTAGCTCACTTATTAGTCTCACTTTACCAAAGTTCACATTTGAGATATCTTTGAAAGAGTATCTCCATATGTTTCATATTCCCATCCAAAACTAATTGAATCTGCCAACGATTTCATACACATGACTAAAATTATGATTTTATTTCGAAATTTCGAATGACACTAGTGAATCTATAGATTTAATGATTTAATGATTTTATAATTTTGTACGATTTAGTACGATTAAGTACGATTTTGTATGAATTTGTACGTACGTTGCCCAAGTGTACTTATAAACTTATATATATAACTCATAAAAATTGGGTGTGTCGTATACTTTGATGCGGCTACTACACAACATGATTTAGACTTACGGCCAATAGTTCTTGAGTGACAGCATTTTAAAGACTTTGTCTGAACAAAAAATTCATCAGTTTCTTGAAATGGACTTCGATTTTTTAAATTATTGATAAAAATCTAAAAAGAAAAAACACATAATCATTGTTAGACACATGTACGCGTTCTGTTTCCTCCCTTAAGTTAGCCACCATTGTCGGGAAGCCGGTAAGTACTGCAAATGCTATGAATTCTTTTTAAATAGTTAAGTTTAATTTGTATTGATATTTTTTTTTTAATTTTAATAATTAATAATTAATGTATATGTAAACAATGAATTGAAAAGTATCAACAAAAAATAGCTTAAAGGTCGAGGTCCACTTATTTATTATGAGAGAACTTAATGATGGAGAAATTTTTGTTCAATATCTTAGAAGTTTGTAAATAAAATTTTGTTATTGTTATGCAAGATAATGAAAATCAATGAACTTAATGAGATAACCTTTTATTTTTTCAAACTATAATCAAACCAAAATCAAACAAAATCAAAAATTCAAACAATGAATGTAAAACTCAAAACCAAAACCAAAATAAACAAAAACAAAATTAATAAAAAAAGATGTTGATGACGTCAAGTTTGTTATAAACTACGACTATCCCTCCAACTCTGAGGATTATGTGCATCGCATTGGACGCACTGGACGTTCGAACAACACGGGAACGGCATACACACTCTTCACTAGTTCCAATGCCAATAAGGCTAACGATTTGATACATGTACTTCGCGAGGCAAACCAGGTAAACTATAAATATAGTTAATTAATATTAATATTTAAATTTAAACACCTTGTTCCATACACAATACACAGGTGATAAATCCACGTTTGGTAGAAATGGCTTCAGTTGGTGGTCCCAACAAACGTGGTGGTGCTGCACGTGGCGGCTATCAAAACCGGTTCCAGCAGCAAAATCGCATGGGCTATGTTAAAACTATGCCAATGAATGGTCACTATGCAAACAATCAGCGAGGCGGTTACCATGCATCTAAGCCCCAAGAACATCACCATGCACAACAACATCATGATCAATACCAGCAACAACAACGACAGCCACAAGAGCAGATGCATCATAAGCATTATTCGCCAAAACCACAACATCACCATCTACATCAAGCTCCACGTCCACATGCTCCACCGGTACAACGCGCTAATGGCCAAATGTCTAGATTCTCTACACCATACGAACGCACTCCAGTCCCAGCACCAGCACCAGCTTTAGCTGCAGCTCCAGTTCAGCCTAATGGAAAAGCATATGAAAATCATCAACCTGCTGCATACGCTACATCCTATAGAGTTCCATATAATGCGCAGCATCAAGTACGCAGACCACCACATGAAATTCCACCACCAGGAACCGAAGCTGTTGCTATCAATTATGCGCCTCCTCCGTATGCCGTTCCCCCAGTTTACAGTACAGTTACGCCAGATATGTTCGCGTATCCCCCACCCCCATTACCCGTTCAAAACTAAAATCAAAATAGCATCAAATAATTTATATAAAATTTAGTTAAAAAGTAAAACGTATTATTATCATAATTAACTTAATAATAGCACTAAAATCATATATTGAACAATTAAAAGAAAGCAATCTTCATTGCTTTATTTCTTAACTATGGTATAAAATTTGAATCTCAAATTTTATTTTCTATTAATAATTGTTATTTATTAACTTAAACTTAATAAGCATTTAATTTGTTTTTTTAATTGTACTTTTTGCCTTCTGCTTTTTAATGTTGAAAACCTAATGATCTAATGATCTAATGATTACACAATGGAAATGAATTAGCCTTTAGATTGCTAACATAGAATAATTAATTAAAATCTGCTAGTATTACTATTAGAAATACTTAGAAATGAATTTCAAGATTTAAGTACTTGTATGAACTGAAGATTGCTATCTTATGCAATTAGTAGAAAATTTGTAGATTTATATCTGTACAAGTATATCTTATGTATGTGATCTTATTCGTGTTACTCTTAAAGCGTTTAAAACGAAGATTTTAAATCTGTACGTATTCTTCAATTGCATTCAAATTGATACTAATAAATGTTTCTAATTCATAGGAAAAATATTGTGTAGTTTTTATTGTTTATTTTTTATTTCGATGAAAATAATTATTGGTTTGGACAGTGAATGGAAGCAGTGCAGATGTTAGGCGTTGCGCCTCAAGGGCTAGGCAAAAAAGTTTTTCAGAATGATTCTAAGACGCCCATATGACAATGTATTTCAGTTAAGATAGTTATATTGAACGCTTGAATTTTGAGATATTTGGCTGTAAACATTTTCAACTACGACGACCAAGCGCTGCTCAACACTCCCAACGTACTTTGCGAATAGTGCCAGATGGCATACTTACTACTCGTTTATTTCTTAAGAACTACCAACTCTTTTGTCACCAGTGGAAATATACTGGACTTCAGTTATATTGGATTACAGATGTGCTGGTATCATAAAATAATATAATTCAGCATAGTGCATTGCCGCAGTATTCTCAGAGTTTACCTTCATAAGAAAAGTTAGTAAAAATGAATTAAACACTAATCTTATCTAGAGAGCAATTTACAATTCAATAAGTATATATATTATATGTAATTTTTAATATATTGAATAGACTGAATTGCTTTTTTTTATATCAGCTTTTCAGGTCCAGCATATCTGCCCTGATAGTATTTAAAGAATTCAACTCTGTTATGTTGATAAGTATTTATATTATTGAAGAGCTTGAGGGTTCTATTTATTAAAATCGTTTGTGTAATCAATGTAAAAATGGCATTACTAGTTGAAGCTAGACGGCTTCATGAAAAGAGTTTACAAGTTCAAACCTCGATAACTCGAAAAGGAAGCTATATCGACATAGAGTGTAGTGCTCAAAATAGTTATTTGCTAAAAGCTCTTAGACTATAGCTATTAATAGCTATTAGAATTGGAACTAAAAGTTTGTATAAACTTACTAGGGAAAAACACTTCTGTCTTATCATTTATAATATTTTAACAGAAGTATTAAGCTAAATCAGTGGTTCCCAACGTTTCTTTGACCAATGACGACTATGATTTTTTCATTTCAGTAGGGATCACAAAGTTAAAGAATAATGAAATGTATGATTATTTTAATATGCTTTAGACATTTCTGGTATACAAGTGCATACGTACATTATATGGGCTATAAAGTTGGTATATTATTACTTGAAAATTGTTTGTGCTTATTTTCTAATAAGTGTGGTTTCAGTGGACAAACTGCAAGCTATGTATCCATATCTGTTAAATTTAATTCATGGACCATTTTTAACCATCTCGCGGACCACCAGTTGGGAACTATTAAGCTAAATGGTCAAATAAAACATAATTGTTTATATATAAAGTTAATTTTTTTTTATTTCTATTGTTGATAATTGAAATGATAATTGCAAAAAGTGAACTTTTAATATCAACAATTCAATTTTATGTAAACAATGAGCACACACTTTTGAAAGAAACTATGAAATTATTTGGTCATAAAATATAAATTTATCACATACATATTGTACGTATAAATATTTATGAATATTTATAGAGTTATTGTAATTCCAGCTGATATATGATTAGACAGAAAAAACAAAACGAGAAAAAAACCTTTTATTATTATAAATAATAAAAGCTAAACTCTTTTTTCAATATATAGTATTACAAGGCCACATATTTATTTGTTTGATGAATGATTAAATTAAAAATGAAACGTTGGGGTTTCCCGACTTGACACAATAAAATTGATAAGTAATTATATATGTCGAATCATGCATTTTAAGCTCTTCATTTCTCTGGGAAATGGAAGCTTTGCAAGCAGCTTTGGCCGACATCCACGGTTGGTGTAGCCGCCTAGGATTGGAAGTAGGACTACACTTCTGGACTAGATACAGATAACTTCATGAATAAAAATTTTTTTTAATTTAATTTATATTTTTTGTTAGAAACGTAAAAATTATATATTTTGTATTTTTTTTAACTTTATGGAACGCTAAATTATTCACTTCCAAAATAAATTGTATTTGATAGTTAATAAGATTAAAATGAATTGTGTGAAATCAGTTTGGATCTTCAATTCTATATTACATTTTTATTGGAGTGTTTAATCTACTAATCTATTAATCTAAATAGAGAAATAAGCGTTAATAAAGCTGTAGTAAATTTAAAGTGGAATGTTTTACTTTAATATGAAATACAGTTATATTTCTATATACGATCATTACTAAATTCGATTCTGAATTACAAATATGACAATAAAGATATTTGAAGCACATTTCTAATAGATTAATGCATAAGGTATAATCCATTGTTCAAAAAAGACCTCAAGTCTGTGCAAAATCTACATTTTCAGCGTAAAAACAAGTCTCACGGCGATGAGAGAGTTTCGTTATCTATGTTTGATATATCTGATAGCCCAACTGCGACATCTCGATTCCAGTTTTAGGTATGTTATTTAACTTTAGGGGTTTTTTTAGAGAAGAGTATGGCAGCAAAAAAAAAACAATAATACAACTATCATTAGAAGACAAAAAGGTTAAAGATTTCGATGTTATACAGACCATCTTTTAAGCAATATAGCAATCCTTGTTATCGTAGGTATTTTACATATTTATTTAAAAATTTATTAGAAATTAATTTATTATATATTTGTATATATACAACATAATAACTTCAGACTCAATGTTCCAATTAGCTTAAGTATAAATTAACTTCGTCGAGTACTAAAAGATGCGATTTAGCTGGTAACATAAAACAAATAAAGAATGTTTCGATAAAAAGTATATACCATAATTCAATGAAACATCAGAGAAAATCATCTAAAAATAATCGTGTGCAAAGTTGTAACTGGAAAAATCTGGTCAAAAAATGACAGAAATGTTATAGTTTGTGTGTATAAAAGGTAGGAAAAGCACAACTACCAACGCACAAACTAACGCCAAAAAAAAAACATAACAATGAAAATCAGTGGATCGATCGATAAATGACATTAATAAATGAAACAATAAATCGTTTGACAAGGATGATGTAGTTAATAATAGAGCTGAGAGCTTACAGAGAGTGTGGATTATATGTAACTCGATGATACGCAACTATAGCGCATCTATAGTGAAAAAAAACGGACCAAAATCGTTGCGTTTTAAATTTGTAAGTCGGATTTAAATATAAGCTAAATTTTGGTCAAAGTATATCAATATCAGATTTAAACAAAGGAGGTACAAATTATTGAATCAATATAAATATGACGAAGTTAATCGAGTTGGTTAACCGAAGTTCGCTCTTCATTGTGTTTAAACAAGTGTTTGGTAGTGTCGACTGTTATATGATATATATAAATATATGATATGATATATATGATAGGTATTGTAGATGTAGGTATCAGAGTAAAACAATAATAACATACAACTTTACGAAATGAAAGGACTATTACAGGGTGTCTGACGTGAATTACAACAAAGTAAAACACTCTATTATGTCTATTTTTGTTAAATTTAATAAAAGATAAATTAAAATATGCGAAAAGTACTTTACATTAATTTATTCTGGTTTCATATGACCACTTGTAGCATGAATTATGCCATTTAAACGGACTATGAAGTTATCGCACTTTGTCCGCAACTGGCTCTGCGGTATTTTGGCCCATTCGCGACTTAAAGCTTATTCAGATGATCAATATTTTGGTATTTTTTAGTGCAAACCTTACTTTTTAAAATACCTCAGACCGAGAAATCTAAAGGGCTTATAACAGCTGCACACGGTGGCCAGTGTGTTGATGGTTTAAAGCACGGAACGTTATTTTTCAGTCATTTTTGCTTGACGCGTAATTTGTGCGATGGTGTTGAGTCCAGTTGGCATCTCCAACGCCTGCTACCGAAATGCTCATCTGCTCAGGGCTTCAGTGCTCCCTCTAAAATAATTTCACGATAGATTTGGTCGCTTATTTTTACCCAAGTCGACGAACATGAGCGAAGAGCAACCATCGGCTGTTATGGCGATGCACATCATTACCATCTGAACGTTTCATAATCAGAACTTATGTGATGTATTGTGCTCAACTATATGACAAACTACGCCTTTAAAGATGTAGAGAGATCCGGATATATATGTAGCAGCGTAAAGATAATCATATATGCAGATATTATAGCCATTGTACGAGGAAAGACTTCAACAATAAGTGAAGTGAATTATGCCCATATCGAATTATTGTAATCATAGTTATATATGATACATAATTATATTATGTATATAATATATTATTTATTATATAATAAATATATAAGTTAAATATTTAAAAATAAACATATATAAATAAATATTACTAATTACCCTTAGAAAATATAATTAATTAACAAAACACATATTTATAATAATTACGATTATTTCTCAAACGATACTGTGAATGTTCCATTCCACCCATCACTTCTTGTTTTTATTATATTATTTATTTTTAGATAAAAATCCATTAAAATTTTCTTCTTTGCTCTAAACGTAATCAAAATTTTATTATAAGAAAACTATTATACATCAAATTAGAATAGAACTAAATGTATATATATATATATATTTTTACATATATGTAATATATACATTGTGACCGAAAAGTTTCCGGAAAATTTTAAATAAAACGCAAAATTCTTAATCTTCATCAATATTTATTTTATCTCCTTCAAAATATGCTCCATTAGAAGCGATACACAAATGCCAACGTTTCTTCCAATCATCAAAACATTTTTTATAGGCGCTTTCCGGTATGGCTTTGAGTTCCCTCTGCGAATTCTGTTTTACGTCTTCTATGGATTCAAAACGCGTTCCTCTGAGTGGTAATTTGAGGTTGGGAAACAGGAAAAAGTCACACGGTGCAAGATCAGGTGAATACGGTGGCTGTTCGATGGTATTTATTGAATGTTTGGCCTTAAAATCGTTGATAATGTTGAACAAATTGAGGTGAATCGGAACAAGCCGGGCGTTGACACGTCGCATACACAAATTGTCCACCAAAATCAAACGAGCCATCTCACGACCGATGCCTAGCTCTCGTGCTATCTCTCTAACACTCACATGAGGATTTTTGAACACGATTTCCTTTGCCTTTTCAATGTTTTCGTCGGTGGTAGAGGTCGAAGGTCGTCCAGAACGCGGCATGTCTTCGACGGTCGTACGACAGTCCTGAAAGGCTTTGTACCACTCATAAACTTGAGTTTTCGATAAAACTGATTCCCCATAAGCCTTTTGTAGCATTCGCAACGATTCTGCACACGAAATTTCGTTCGAAAAACAAAATTTGATGCAAACTCTTTGTTCAATATTTTTTTCCATTGTTTTTTTCGCAACGCACTACTGAGGTGAACTGGTTTCAACAGCTGCCGTAAACGAACTGTCCGACAGATCGCGCTCATTTTTGGCATAGTAATTAAGGACAGTGCTGCCAAACTACATAAACTTAAAATATCGAAAAATATACAGCGCGCGAATTTTAAATGAGAATTTCCGAAAGCTTTTCGGTCACAATGTATGCTACACATTATTAAAAAAAAATTACTTATGTTTCAATATGATTAGGATTTTAACAAAATGAGAATGTGAGAGTCATTTTAAATGTTGGTTTTTGAAGAAAACATGCATTTTTGGCGCAGAGTTTTTCTAATTATATAGATATCACGAGAGTTCCTGTGAGAATTGGGTCTCCAGGGTGGGTCTTCTAGTTGGGTTTCTGGCTTGGTTTCTAATCGGTGGTCCTGGACTACCATAGCCCGCTGCATATAGCTGTGGGCATGAGTCTTTTATTAGTTCCTGTGTTTCACGTAATTGCCGCTGCACTTGTGGCGCTAAACGCTGTACACTAATTGCTGGGGGAAATCGGTATTCAGTTGGTGGTGCCTGAAATTAATAAAATATTTTTTTTTTATAAATAAACGTAAACGGAATTTAGAAGTCGCTTGCAAAGCACAGAATGGCTCTATGAAAGCTGTCAAGTTAAACCTCATAATAACAAAGAAGTTTATGGAATCAAAAGTATTTTGAAAATATTCTCTTTTAAGAAATGGAAGTTTGAAATAATTCTGCTTACTATTTTTTTACTTTCAGTTCAAGAATTCAATAGTCCTACTAATTCTTTAAAGCACCTTAAGTAAAAGCGCACTCTTTTTATTATATAAGTAATCTGCTAATGGTCGGTAATGAAGATAAACTGGATAAACCGTATAAAGATTTAAGAGAATGTGGTGGTGGAGATGGACACATAACAAGTATCTAGTATATATATCTATCAAGTTTTTGTCTGCATGCAGATTCGTCTGGATAGTAAGACGAATTGACAATTTAATCACATATTAACATGAAGAGATGTGGATTGCATACGTCAGGAATATGTACTGCGTCAGTACATAAGATATAAGATAAGATAGTATATGTCGGTAGTCGACAGACAAGTAGCCAGTGAGGAGCTATATTGATACATTTGTATATTCTTTATTACTGTTTATTGATATAAAAATATTTTTTTGTTATTTAATTTATCCCAAAGTTTCTCCCTAAGTAAGAGAGCCTGATATTTGACTTCAGAAATGGTTCGACTGTTGGACTAGTTACCGATGTTTTTATTCTACGAAAATATTATTCGGCAAATATGATGGGATTTGAGATATTTCATTTTAGATACGTCATTTACATTGTGACCGAAAGGTTTTCGGAAGTTCTCATTTAAAATTCGCGCGCTGTATATTTTTCGATATTTTAAGTTTATGTAGTTTGGCAGCACTTTCCTTAATTACTATGCCAAAAATGAGCGCGATCTGTCAGACAGTTCGTTTACGGCAGCTGTTGAAACCAGTTCACCTCAGTAGTGCGTTGCGAAAAAAACAATGGAAAAAAATATTGAACAAAGAGTTTGCATCCAATTTTGTGTTTCGAACGAAATTTCGTGTGCAGAATCGTTGCGAATGCTACAAAAGGCTTATGGGGAATCAGTTTTATCGAAAACTCAAGTTTATGAGTTGTACAAAGCCTTTCAGGACGGTCGTACGACCGTCGAAGACATGCCGCGTTCTGGACGACCTTCGACCTCTACCACCGACGAAAACATTGAAAAGGCAAAGGAAATCGTGTTCCAAAATCCTCATGTGAGTGTTAGAGAGATAGCACGAGAGCTAGGCATCGGTCGTGAGACCACGGCCTCAATTGTGGAAGGATAATTCATGGATTTTTCATGACGATAATGCTCCCTCGCACCGAGCCAACATTATCAACGATTTTAAGGCCCAACATTCAATAAATACCATCGAACAGCCACCGTATTCACCTGATCTTGCACCGTGTGACTTTTTCCTGTTTCCCAAACTCAAATTACCACTCAGAGGAACGCGTTTTGAATCCATAGAAGACGTAAAACAGAATTCGCAGAGGGAACTCAAAGCCATACCGGAAAGCGCCTATAAAAAATGTTTTGATGATTGGAAGAAACGTTGGCATTTGTGTATCGCTTCTAATGGAGCATATTTTGAAGGAGATAAAATAAATATTGATGAAGATTAAGAATTTTGCGTTTGTACATTGTGACCGGAAACTTTTCGGTCACAATGTATATGTCAATCTTTGTGACACGTAGTTAGAAACTGGTTAGAAAACAATTGAATTTTCCTTATTATTTCGATCTATATTGAAGAATTAGTTTAGATTGAATTCTTTATTGTTACAAAATAAAAAAGCTTTCATTAAACTTTAATATGGGTTATTGTCACTACTCCTATATAGCAATATTTTGACCACATTGCCATGTAGCAATGTTTAGATCACATTGCTATTTAGTGGAGGGATGTAGGTACAACCTGTTGCATAAATTGTAAGTCTTAAAATATGTTAACAAAAATAATGAAAAAAGCTGAGCTGGATTTGCCAAAATTGTTTTTTTTTAGCATCAATTTAATATGAAAGTGAAGTGACAAAAAATAGATCACATCTCAGTACACTGAAAATAATCGTTAAAATAGGAATTGAAAAATGGTTCCCACCTAAAAGAAAAATGCAAAAAAAAAAATAGTCACCATTTTATCGTCAATTTTCAAAGATTACAAATCATTTAAAAGACTATAGAGATTGAGTAAAATTATTATTATTAAAAAATTTTCTATAATATGATAAATATATGTGCTTCACTTTAAATTATTTTAAACTTCGAATTGATTTCACAACTACATCTCAAAATTATTCTATAAATAAAGCTAATTTCATTATTTCATCTACAAGGACATTTTATGCTCCCTTTATGTGTTTCTACACCTTCAAAAGGATTCTAAGTAGTACATACACGTTGGGTGTAACCCCGTCAAAATGCGGTCAAAAGGAAATTGTTTTTTTCTTTGGGCAATGAGTATATCAAATTTTGATTCAAAACTTAAATAAGTAAATTGTGATGCACTTATGTGCAATGTCGATAATGCAAAAGTATACACTGCAAAAATAAGGTTTTCAATCTCATTAGCAGGCGAATTCATGGGGGCACGCAGCACAACTGCTGCCTCATGATTTCGAAATAAAATATCCTTTCAGGCATACATGCGAAATGTGAAATTCGCTATCGCATTATTAAATTAAAATTTTAATTACTGCGCTGAGCTATTTAAAGCGTAAGCCATCAGGGCTTAAAACCCACCTGTGTGCTATGGATTACGTCACCGTAATATGACGACTGATTTTGGCTTTGTGGAGTTTGTTGTTGTTGTTGCTGCAACTGTTGCTGTTGTATGAGTTGTTGTTGATGTTGTTGGTGTTGTTGGTGTTGCTGGTGCTGTTGTTGTTGTTGTTGCATATGTTGCTGTTGTAGTTGGTCATCATTTTGCGACGCTGTTTGCATATTTTGTTGGGCAGTGGGTTGTCCGAAATATGTCATTTGCATGGGCATGGGCATTGTAGGCTGTGGTGACCGGCCACCATTCACATAGCCTGACAACGTTGTTGGTAGCGTTGAGGCGGGTATATATTGATTTTGCATTTGTTGTACGAGAGGACTTGGGCTAATTAATAATCGTGTATCTACTATACGTTTAGGACTAACATTTTGCTTCCCTAGTAATTGCGGTGATCCAGTCGGTAGTGTCAGCAAGTGTGCATATTGCTGGGATTGGTTTGGTGTTGCCTGCAGGATAGCGAGGGCATTGGACGTATTTGCGGTGGTTGCTGATGCCTCTGCGGACATGCTCATTGGTATTTGAGGCACTACTGCCATTTGGTGTAGCATATTAGTGTTCATATTGGATAGTAAGATTTGTTGGCTTTGAGGATTAATCTGCACTTGTCCTGGTTGCGTTGTGCCATGAGGTAGAAATTCTGCATTTATTACTTGTTGTGGCATCGCAACTGGTATTATAGTCTGTAGCACTCTAGTTGGGGCTAATTGCTTAACGGGTGCTTGACGAACTGGTGTAGTCTGCAGCGAACGACTAGCGGAGGAGCAAATGGAGGCAGTTAAACTAGCAGACTCCCAGTGCTGCACTAATGCATTCAGTCTAGCTTCCTCTAGTGCAATTTCTGTTTCGCTAGCAGAATCATAATCAGGACCCTAACAAGAAAGTACAATATGTCCATATATTAGAATACAGTTATATGAAAAGTAGTACGCACCTCTTCAATTTTTTTATCTAACATACGAAAAAAATTCTGCTGACTAGTTGAAATCTCTCTGTGTTAATATAACAAAAGAAGAGATCATATTAGAAATGGTTAATAATTATACATAGATTATATAAAAATATAAAGTGTTAAGAGTTTACCGATTTCTTAAAATTAACTAGCAAATAATGTGATGTTAGTGTTTTAAAATTATTCTAGAGAAACATTTTATATTCTAGATTTCTTACTGGCTTTGTAAAAGTGAAAGATTTTTAGCCCGTAGTAGTGATACCGAAACTTCTTCATCCGTTTCTTGTGTGTCTTTATTGCTTTGTTCTTCAGTTTCTTCAGTTTTTTCTCGCTCTCGATTTTGATATTTTTCTGTTTCTTCAATGCGGCCCTCTTCTTCGTCTGTTTCTGCATCCGAATCAGCTGAAAATACATGTAGAATTGTAAAATTGAATAATATAATATATAATGAGGATAGATTTGTAATACATATATGTAGATAGATTTGTTGCTTATAGTACCATTACTGCACCTATTCTAATAATAACCTCTAAGTTTTTTGAGTTTGGATCAAAATGATTAGCAATAGTGATAGTTGAAGCATCTGTTTAGATTATTAAATATGCCAGAATTTTCTTAACAGTTTAGAAAGGAAAATGTTTGGCCCATATACAATATGCCAGAATTTTCTTAACAGTTTAGAAAGGAAAATGTTTGGCCCATATACAATATACTCGCTTTGCTGTTTGGTCTTAGAACTCTCTTCATACTCTTTAAAGGTATTGTTGTTTAGGTATGTAGATACTATGTAGATTCTATGTATAATTTAGGTTTCTAGATAATATGTATGCGGTTAGTTGCAGTGGCAGTTTGGAACATATCCCTCTTCGTAAGGAACCTTATGAGATAAAATGAAAACGCTTAATACTCCTAGGAATACATTCAGATAACCACTAAAATGATGTGATGTCTTTAAGCGGTTTAGCTTGCCAATTTGGCCGACTACCATTTATTATATATACCACCATTACTTTTTTACTTAAACCAAAAAGTTCTTATTTTTTGAGTAGAGTTGCGATGTCATATAAAGAAGAGAAAAAGAGAACATACTCAACACATAATATAGACATTAAATGTTATGACAATTTAAAATTATTGTACACAAAACTAACTTTGATTAATTAATTTTAAATACCGATAATTATGTGGTATTATTTTAACTGTCTATAGTCTAGTAATAGAACTATTTACATACTCCCATTGTTGCTTTACAAGTTTAAAAATAAATATAATGCTATTTAAAATTGATAATAATATTTTTGATCATTATTTCCTATCTTCAAAGTTAATCGCAAATACAACAATATCAAAATTGAGATACCTATATCAAATTTACGTAATATAACAACACCTAAGCTGACATATAAAGCTTTTAGAAGAAGTTGTTACCAAACTGTACTCTATATAGTTGTTGGTAATTGAGTTATTATCAGAATAATGATTATCAGATAATAATTCAGATCAGATAAGATCAGATTATCATAATATTATAATTATCAAAATTAGTACTATAACTAGATAATTTAGATGGTCTATTTGATTCCGTGAAACTAGTTATTAATTTTCAATTCTATGTCTTACTCTTCAAAATAAAAGCTACACTAAAACTATGCTACTTCTTTGTCAAAGAATGCGGTCAACAGTCTTCACTGTTGCCTGAAAGCTCAAGACAATGCTATGGGTTTCATTCCATAGCGACTGTATACACACGAAAACCAACTACTAAGGGGGTCATTACTGGAACTTTAGCTGATAACACAGTTATATCTTTCTAAAGGTACTTTTCTTAAAAGAAATGAAGGAGTAGACAAAATCACTAATAGATGACGAATGGAAACTTATGTTAAACTGAATTAACATAGAGAGTGCTCACAAATCTGTTCATGCTAATAAATCCAAAATAGCAGCTTTCAATCAATAATAAATTACTACAGCACTCAATAGCCTTAAAATCTAGCTGGTTTTATAGCACATATATCTTTTTATGATCTGTGCACTTTGGCATACATTCGATTATTGGCGAAGTAATGTTTCCATTCAGCTTGGGACAACTGCAAAACTAGATTTTTGAACACATTGCTTGCTTCTTCTATCGATGAAGGTCGCTGTCCACGTAGTTTATCTTTGATATGTGGGAACTACAATAAGATATTGGAAAAAAATCAGGATTGTATATCGTATGACGTAAGGATTCAATGTTCTGAGTGTTTAAAACATCACTTGTTTGAGTTGATTCGTGGATTCTTGCATTATAATAGTGTTGAATCACTGGATTTTGAAGGTTGGTTTTATTCGTTTGTTCTAAAACTCTTAATAAAGAAATGGTGGCGTATTAATATAAAGTGCTCATTCTGATTTGTTTTTAAAGTTATGTTGCCAAATGAATGAGACCGTTTGTATCCAAGTGTTTTAAGCATTAAAACGTTTTGCTGTGTTTAGTTTATCATAAAGGTTCATATCATTAGATCCATGATTTAGTCTCCTATCACAATCCTAAACACATCTTTTGAAGCACTGTCAATATTTTTAGATCAATTCCCCGCATCGTGGATACGAGTACATGGCATTAGCGTTTGTTAAATGATGTGAAGTCCAACGTTAATACATTTTTTTAACAACGTAATGATAATGCACTACTATACGAGTGTGAAAAAAATATCTGAAAGTATCTCACAGTATACTACATGACTATCTTGTCCAATCAGATTAAACACACCATTGTGACATTGTTTTCTAGCACAGCAATTAGGTTTGGATGACCTTTGCAAACTTCGTTTTTTAGTGCTCAACGTCTATGGATTAACTCGTTATATCAGCTTTTGCATAGCTGTAATGGCTGGAATTTATTAATTAAAAGTGAAAGTACATTTATTGATGTGCTCTTATCTTGATAATGAACATCGAAAATCATAATAGGTGGAAATCATCTCAAAAAAATTTCCATTATTTTTCTCTGAACTCTAACTTCCAAATGACTTCAAACCAACTCACATTTATTTGGTGGATCCTAAAATTAAACCACCTAAACTACAAACTATATAAACCACACCGAATCCCACATAGTCAGTGAGATTTGGCTCCCACTGATTATGTTTTCTTTCCAAATTTATCAAAACTGCAAACAAGAATTTTAAAAAACGTGATAAACCTGTTGCAGCCGTGGATGAATATTTAGCAAACTTTCCAGAATAAAATTTCAATTATGAGATTATGTTAGCAGGAAAACGTTGCAATAATTTATTGTTTTAGATTTTGTGAAAAATAAGTTATATTTTATAAATAAAAAAATTTCAATGTTACAAGATATCTCTCGTTATATTAGATAGAGAATTGAGCGTTTTAGCATTAGCCAGACATATTGATGATTGTAAGTAATTGACTAGTTTCAATATTGGATATATTGTTAATTAGTATATATTGTTAATTATGTTATATATAGTGAATTAGAGAATAGGGTGTCCATAAACGTAAGACTCTATTTCAATAAATATTACGAGTGGAATAAAAGATAATCTAGTGTATCTTCCTCGAGCACCGGAAAATACTAATTGCAGGGATTTCCACAGGGCAGGATTAACCTATCTTCAGGTTATTCTATAGTCCAGTGTATCATGAGAAACAATATAAATGTGATAGTTACAAAAATGTGTGGTGATTTAAGTGACATGTACGGTAAAGAGCCAGAAGACTAGAGTTAAGTGTTTTTTTTACAGAATTGGGCCATACGGTTGAGCCTGGAGTGGAGCTGAATGAGCCTAAATAGTGACATAATAGATGTTCTGATGACTAACAACAGTTTTGGTAGGGCAGATTAACTTAGATACACATTGACCTACACATTGTGCTACAGTTCAATGTTCTGTGAGAAACGATGGAATTGCGAGAGTAACAGAAATTTATGACGATTTTAGTGAATCTACAAGATTAAAGTGCAATGTCTTGTTGCGTTTGACACTTCAAGTTCATTAAATTGAAGAATGTTAATAGACTTAAGTATAAGCTTTGTGTTTAATTTTCTTGAAATATTCTTTATCATCAATGTTTCAAAATGTTTTTGGTTTAAAGAATATCACACTACTGCTTTCCGGCTGTATGGTAAACATAATTAAAAAAATCACTAAAAAATAGATACGTTCCAATAAGCAATGGTCTGATCAACGAACACGTGCAAGAATAACACTGTGCCGTAGTCTAATTTGATCTGGCTCATATTCTGACTCCAAGTGAATGTATGTTAACAATAAAAATGCAATTTAATTAATGAAAAATGGGGTTGACAATCCGACTTTTTCATATGATATGGTCTAGTAAGATTTCAAATGAAAATAGGGACTCGTTATTAAAAAAGTAAAATACATATTTAAACAGCTGATGCGTGGCAAATTGATATCACTTAGAATCCTTACCGTTTGAAGATCCAGATCAGCTAACCAAATGGAGAAGTTCTAGTAATCCTCACCAAGACCTTAAAATTTATGGTGGTTGCAATCACTAATTAAACAGATTAGATATAATTTTTACTATTACTAATGTATTTTCTTGGTATACAAATTTTGATGTGGGACAAATAAGACGTAATCTATTAATTCAATAGATATTAAACAGAAAAATGTAAATAAGCGACTAAAGCGTATCAAATGATTTTGGCCTAGACATAAGCCCATCGAATTATAAATTATTCCCAGACTTAAAGGAATCAGTTCGTAAATTGCTTCCAGACTTAATGAAATCAATTTGAATAATAATAAAAGAATAACCAAAATAACTACCGCAAAATAGTCAACAAAACCCCGTACAATTACACTAACAACAATAGCGCATATTACATTGATCCGGTATAAAATACGCGACGATAAAGCAATGTAGTTAGTCAGCTAAGTAGCGTGCTTGAGATCACATCGCATCACTAGCGCTGATTATTTCAGGAAAGAAATCTACATTCCTTCAAACAGTCAGCTAAGCAGCGATCTTGCGATCACATTGCACCACTAAGTGCTGATTGAGCCAAAGTAAGAAATTAATATTTCTACTTTTGTAAATTCTTACTAGTGTGAAATGAATTTACATTGTTATCACAAATCCATCCCCAAACTCTTTTCCCATGGGTAAGAACTTGACATTTTCTTAGCAATCCCACGGTCCACCTCAAACGGATCCACACTTCGTTAATAAACTTAGAAGATGAGGTAGAAATATACATTTCTATTACCAATCAATTTTTTTTCTTCGTGGCTAAGAAATTGACATTTTGTTAGCCATTTTTCCAAGTGTGAACGTTGGGAAGATGAAATTTATAGAAATTTACATTTCTAATACGAATTCTTTATCTCGGCTAAGAAATCTATATTCCTTAGCAAATTCATTGTCCACAACTAATGAAATTTATATTTGATTAGCAACCTTGACAAGTGGTATAGGCATTCACATTTTTCTTATATGGTACTCGCTCTCTGTTCTCCACTGTTCCAGACAAATAAATTTATTATAGCACTAGACCTGGGTTCCGGTGAGCTAAATCTTAATGGAATACTTAATGGAATGAATTTGTGAATTATTTTTTTTTTTACATTTAAAGAGATATCTAGAGATAATAGAGAATAAATAATTTAGAAGAAGGAAAAACCGTATTTAAACGGTATAAAGTAATATCATATAAAAATCAATTCATATTCTGTGCAATAAAATATTGATTAGTTAGAGAATCAGAATATCTAATACATGTCAACGTTAGCTTCTTCTTTGTTTGCATTTTTAGTGAATTATTGTATCTCTAAGGTTGTCGTTGATGCATAAAAATATGTTAAGTGTTTACTCTATCTACTATCGAGAGAAACCGAAAGGATTACTAGTATTATAAACGTGTTAAGAGTGGTAGTATTTTTTTTATGTTCTGTTAAATGGCCATTAAATGGCTATTAAATGGCTTTATTAATTCATGAAATTTGTTTTATTTGCTTTGAAAGTCCTTTTATTCTTTATGAGTTCGCTAATTACATCATCCATCCCACCCAAAGAGCAAATACTCCCGTACTTAGTAGGTTAGGTGTTTTATTGTTGATGAGCAGATTTTAATGGACATTTTACAATGTAGGTAAGGGCCTACAAATGAGTTTACATTCATCTATATACATCCTATATCTATTTAAACGTTATAAAGTCGACTTTTGAGATATTGGGAATCGGAAAGCAGTAACTTAGAAGAAGGAAAAGCTGTGTTTAAACACTATTAAGTCAAATTTCGAGATATTGGGAATCGGAAATCAGTAACTTAGAAGAAGGAAAAGCTGTGTTTAAACGTTATTAAGTAATATCACTTTCGTAGTATTGCTTTTTTTAGTGCAAATGTACTTACCATGCGCTCCTTTTTTGCCATTTGCTTTACTTTTTGACTTTCTAGGATACAAGTGAATCTTACTTTGTCCACAGCCCATAATCCGTTAGCTTTTGGAATTGTATTGGATTTGTAGTTGCCACGACTAGAATGTTTGCGAAGGAGATGTGTGTTTGTCAGTGAATAATCAGTGAACTCTTCTCTTTGCAGTTGGATATAAGTACATATAGATTGGTTATATATATTTATTTATTTATATATAGTATTTATTGTATTTATTGTATATTTGTTATTGATTGATTTTCATTTCGTACGTCTCGAACAAAACAGTTTGAAGTGTTAATTTATTATTACAAATAATCAAAAAGCAAAACGTAAGCAAAACGTAAGCAAAATATTAAACACCAAAAGTAACGCACGGCACGGCGCTTTGTTCTTGTATGTGCGTATTGGGGACCGTCCCCATTTGTCCGTCCAGTCGTTCTGTGTTCTGTGTGTATTCAAGAAAAATTCATGCACGCAGGCAATAAAGATACCCTTTTGCCAAAGTCTTCGATTTCTCACTTATTCATCTTTTTTTTTGTTGCTTTATGTTTTTAATATATATATATATATATATTTAATATTGACTAGTAATTACGTTTATGGTTAGAATATCCTTAATTGGTTTATTAAACTATTTCATGTTTATATTTCTCAGTTTAATTTGCACATCATTTTTCAATTTTTCAATTTTTCACGTTATTTCGTTATTTGTGTGTGTATGTGTGTGTGTGTTGTGTGTGCTTTCGCTATTTAGTGCTTCTGTGCATATTTTGACACTTAGCGGTTCAAGTTATTTGACACTTTGGCACAGTATTATGGCTCGTAAAAATATTTTCCTTCACTCCTTCACTCTTGCACTGAACACGACGAACACTGTTTGAATTCCTTTGTAATATTCCTAATAAGGGTTAACGCCTTATTGGCTACGCTTAAACTTTTTCCGCAACGCTCGTTTCGGTTTGTCCAACACATACGTCGAGGAGCGCTTACATACATCGATTGATGCTTAACCTCCAAAGATTTTTTATATTTATTATTTATTATTTATGATTTATTATTATCTTTTACTCAATTTTCAGTCAATATTTTCAATATTTTGCGAATTGTTTTTATTGTACGTACATTTGTGATAGACGTTTAAGCACACACAATTCTTTCCGTACGACATGACATGCACACAAATTCGAATTCAATTCATTTCAGTTCAGTTCAGTTCGGCTCGATTCTTCTTATTATTCTTATTATTTTCGGCAAAACACTTAAATGTACTTAAACGTTATTTATTAATATTTTTATTAAGCAATGAAATTAATTTAGTTGGAATTATATTGAATATTTTTTCTATATATATTTATGCTTTATTAATTTGAATTTATTAAATACAATTTTCTTGGAGTGTTTTATGCTCCTTTACAAATTCCACGAGTGTCTAATGCTGTACGAGATTTTGGAGTGAAATTTGCAGGAAGCTCGCAAAAGCATGAGCATAAAAACAACAAAATTAAGCTCCTGCACGCATTCAAATGTACATTCAATCAAATCTGCCCTAAAAGCTTTCTTTCACATTTCACTATATGCGCTCATTTTCCTTTGCTCACACATGTTCGCTCGCTCACAACCGCGCTCTCGTGCTCTCGTTCTCTCGTTCACTCGTTCGCTCGTTCGCCTGCTCATACACACAAACCGAGCGCAATCACTTGTTCTCCATACGTGTGGAAATTGATTTTTCTATTTTTATATATGTATATATGTAAAAAAAACAATAATAAAATAAATCACTTGTAACAAATGTTCTATATTTTGTTTTTGTTTTTATGCTTTTATACAATAACAAAAAAATAAGTTTTCACTTCAATCGATTTCTTAAAGTTTCAAATCTTTGCGTATTAATACGCAAGATACCGAAAACAACAAAACGGCACATGCAAAAACAATAAATAAATAAAATTCTGCTTTTGTATATCGCACGTCGTCCCGTCGTCGTAGTCGTCGTAGTCGTCGCTGTCGAAGTCTTTAGTGTACACTCTACACACATACACACACACATGCATACAAAAATACTCTCGGTGGTGTATAGATGAACCAATTGTACACAAAAATAAGCAAAAAATAAACAACAAAAAACACAAAAAAAAACACGACACTTTATTGAATAGCCATTTACCGTTAGAATAAGTTTAAAGCACCGAAACACATTTATTTTTTGTTTATTGCGCGTTAATTTATTTATTTTTTTATTTATAAATTAATTCCTTTAAAAATTTATAGTTATAACTTTTTGTGCAAAATTTCTATTCGCGACCGAAATGTTTTGCTTTACAATTTTGGAGGAGCAAAAAATTAGACGATTTTGAGTGAATGAAAATAAAAGTGTAGAGTCTATGTTGATACTCTACACAGAACAGAATCGAATCGAATCGAATACTCTCCACATACGAGACAAATGTCAGTCCTGTGAAAGGTTAAGTTGACAGCGGGTTAAAAGGTTAATTCATGAATTGCCCGAAAAACGTTAAGGCGAGGATGTCTTCAACAGTTGAAAGCAAAATCAAAAAAAAATATCAATCAATTGTGAATGACAAATGAGGACACTCGCTGTTATCGTTGAAAATAAAAATTATTTTAAAAATTGAATATAATTAATTATATACACTTAATTTAAGCAGCTTTATTCGTTGAAGCAAATAAATGGACTGAAAGTGTAAAGCGAGCATTTTTAAAGGTTGAGTTCATGGCCGAAGCTACCATCTGAATGGAATTTGTTGAGTGAAAACGATTGATGCACTAAGGTCAAGGAGATCTATTGGAAACAAGCGAGATTGACGGAAAGCATTGATGTCAGTGCATTTTTTAAGGTTATGCTTCCCATCTTATCCACCAGTTGAATGTACACGGGAAAGTTGCCTTATAAAATTTGATTCATATAATTGATACTTTACGTTTCCACAATAATGTGGATTATTCTATATGTTACTTTTGCTAAGATTAGTTATGTTTATTTTATAATATACATACCATGAGTGTATATGGACCTAACACCAGAATTTCTGAAGCAATGGGAACATGACCGAGTATCTTTCAAGTTGAAATTCACTCAATCAACTTATACGTGAGATCCAAAATCATTAAAAAACCGCCTGGCTAGAGAATTGCTATTTACTCGGTTATCCAGGCTGCTCTTAAAGTTCTCACTTCTTTGGTTTTTTAATTCGAAACAGGTAAGTCTTTATTGGGTTTCGGATCACAGGGGAGCTTTGGGAAATGAACAAGCTGTGAAGCTAGCCAGAACTGCATGAAAAACTACATTTACAGGCCATAAACCTTTCTGTGATTTAAACTGGGCGAGTACAAAACAAATAATCAAAGAGACGGAGAAATGTTTGCGGCTGATATACTGGGAAGATTTCCCAGGATTTAGATAAAGATTTAGATTAGTCAAATCATACTTCTACAAAAACATTCTTAAATTCTCAAAAGGTAATTAAAGGTTGCTAACGGGTTTTATTATAGGTCATTGTGGTCTGAAATGTCATCGTGAAATGATCATGTCGAATTTTGTGCTTGAAAAAAAGCTGTTGGTAGAAACATATAGGGACCACTCTCCTTCGATTAGAACATGTTCACATATGTGGGAAATGGTTTCGAGAATTTACTATATCATTTCATTGCGCCTGCAACCAATTGCATTTTATTAAACGTAAATATATGAGGAGAGTGGTGGTCCTCTCTTGTCACATATTTTCTATAATCCAACTCTTAGCAGACATTTTATGTACAATAAACTAAAAAGTTTCCCTTTTCATATCTAGCCTCCTTACAAAGGTCAAATTTGTAAATGTTGATTTAGTTATACTTGTAAAATATAATTAAATGTCCTTGAGACAATAAATAAGACGATCCACTAGATCTTCAGGTTGAAGACTCTTCACATAGTCCAAAACTTATAATTAATATAGATATCATATAAACAGATAAATATAGAGCGATACGACATACGGTAAGCAATTTTAATTAGGAAGGTTTTATTAAAATAATTTAAAAAGTATATCAGTCAAGTTTTGGATTTAGTTTTTTGCTTACACAAAAAATGTGAGTTTTAGTTCAATGTTGGTTCGAAACGCAGGTTTTAAAAGTAAGATAAAGTATTGTAAACCTAAAAAGTGTCTTAACACTTTACTAACTAAGTTAGTCAAAATTATTAATTAGATGAAATTTAACAACTAAAGCTGGTGATTCCATTATTCCATATGAGTATATTGCACCTACAGTTTTAGTAGTCATCATAGGCTATGGGAAAATAAAACTTATGGCATTATCAAACCGTTAATTATTTTTATAATATATTAAGATATATCTTATGAAACAGAATACTCTATCATGATATCCTGTAACATAATGAGGTAGTTCATCTCAAAAAAGAAAACAATGTAGGGTTGATGAAGAAATTCTAATTCGATAAATAATTCAAAATATTACCCACGGTTTAAACCAATGTTGTGACATTCAAAACGATCTTCTTGATGATTAATATTCTTTTATTAAAATTCTTAACTGAGAAACGGTCTTGTAAAGTTATATATAAGCGAAAATAGTAACATAATGAGAATTATAATTAACCAGAATCCATAACATAGCGAGAATTATAATTAAGCAGAATATTTAACATAATGAGAATTATAGTTTGAATGTTTATTAGAAATTTTAATGGATGGAATATCAAGGAAAAGAATGGGAGGATAAATTATCCTTTATGTGCATATTTTTTACTTTGAATGTTGAATAAAAGTAGTGAAAATTATGCAAAAGTACTAACATTGTAATTAAAACGTATAAGTATCTACACATAGGTGAAAAACTTTTGTTTTTTGTTTTTAGTTCTTCAAAAAGTAATGCACTTTGAAAAGGAAGTTCAGATTTTACAAATGAATGTAACTCCATTTAAAATAATGTATTGCAAATAAGTTTTAACAAAGTATAGTGAGATTGAAGAGCACAAATCTACAAAACCTTTTATTAAAAAAATCAATACACTAGGAAGCTTATCCAATATATAATATTTATATATATTTACAATTGTAATATCTGTTGAATTGGATTATTTTTTCTACTAAAAGATTCAATTTGGAATTAAAAGAAAAAACAAAAATATAAATAATTTCTCACCATATCTTAGAATGAAGTAATTAACTAAAGTAAAAATTTTTGTAAGAGAGCTCATATTTATTTAAAATCGTGGCAAGGACATCCAGATATTCCGAAAGTTCCTACTGGTGTTCCTGTTTAATTAATTTCATCCCAAGCAATCCACTTTTTGAATTGCATGCGTACCAGCTTCTCTTTTTTTGGAATGGTGGTCCACTCTTCAATATTTTGTTTAAATAGAATCTTTCAACCATCATATGGAATTAGCAACGCATAATTTTGACGGTCGATTGCACTGTGATGAAAATACTAAATGTAACGAATTCACTCATATCAAAAAAAAAAGAAGAAGCCAATGGCATTCTATGTATATACTCTAGTGGTATTGATATATATAGATGAATCCAAGCAGAAGTCGTGAAGGTGGCTCTAGTAAATTAATAATCATATATGACGATGGAATATCAAGCAAGTGGTTTAAAACTTTTAGACTAACTTTTAGAATGAAGAATGGATCACTAAATATTTTCACACCATATTAAGTTTCTGTCTTCACTCGACATTTTATAGTATTTTGGAAATTATTTCATTAAGATTATCAGAAATGAAAACACTCCTTGTTTCATATTTATTTCCTTACAGAAAATGTTCTGCTAACAGTAGCAGAACCTGAATAGAAAACATTTGATGGGGTGCGAAAAGTCCAATCCAACAAGGCCTATCTCCAATATACTGAAAAAGAAAATTTTATTGGACAGAGCCAAGATCGAGGTGACAGTGCAGTAGGCATCAATGCTAAAAAATAAAGTACCTCCGTCAACTAAATATACCAGAGCTGCAGAAATAAAGAGGAAAAAGAAATTGAAAAGAAGTTGTCATCTGGGAAGAATGAGACTTTTCACTATGGAAGTCGACGAAGTAAGTAAT